CGCTCTTCCTCTAAGATCGTTCACAACACCCTTGAAAGGTGCTTTTAATCCTTCCATTTCTGCTTCCACACTCTAATGAGTCATAACAAAATTCTTCATATCAAAACATTGAAAAAGTGAAAGAGAAAAGCATAACATGAACCGAGTAAACACGACCATACATGTGTTGAGTTTGTTCCTCTTGGTTTTGGCTTTGGTTTCTTTTCACCAACCAATTTGACTCAAAACGGAGGAATGAACAACTAATGGAACAGTCAATAGAATAGGAAAATACGGAAACGTGTGATTTTTACACGTTGAAAATATGTTTGATGGGCAAGAAAGAAAAGAAAAGAAAGAAATGAGAACTCTCGTGACACAAAGAGGAAGAACACAAAAGAAACCAAACTCATCATCTCATACACGCAATGAGGTAAACAAAACAAACCAATGGATTCATTGGCAATGTTTTAAGAAGAAAAAAAAAGTGTATCATGTATCATATAATCTCATGCAGATTAAGAAATGAAGGCACATATGGTTAATACTTAATGCAGAATTGATTAGAATGAAACAGAAGAACAATATACCAAAGATGTGAGTATTAGAAATGGCTTTGGCTTCGGCTTCTTTTGCAGAGAAGAGTGGCCAAAGTGCACGTCGTTCAAAGACCGGTGAAAGAGAAGAGAATCATCAATGGTCCCCACTGTTACAATTTTCTTGTTCACAACTGCATATTCAGAATTCCTACTTAAAACTATTTATAAAGCATGAACAACATGGCTCCGTGACTATTTCGAATGTATCAGACATAAAAAATTATAAATAAATAAATAAATTATCCAAAAAGTAAAAGTCATTTTTGCCATGATATCAATGGAGTTAATTAAGAAATATCTTCAATAATGAATTATGATTCATGCTTTGGTGTGAACAGTTGTTGTTACTAGTATTAGAATTGTTTCCTATACAAGTCGCCAACTAATTAATGAGATTCATTTTTTTTTAATTTTTTTTATTTCACTAAAGTTAATAAATATTTATGAAGATTTAATTTTTTTTTTAAATATGAGTTTAACACCACTTAAAAACACTATAACTGTTTTACTCGGTCAACTAACATATAATTCTGGATAAAAAAAAAATAACATGCTTTTAAGTAATTATTGTAAAGATTTAAAGAAAAAAATAATCATACATCGGCAGCGTAACAATTTTATCAATCAACCAGAACAATAGCCGTACGATGTACAGTTTATTTAAGTAAGTTAGTTGAAATAATATTTAACTAATTATATAAATAAAAATAAATAATAATTATTATAAAATATAATAATATTAAGAATAAATAAAAAAATAATATTAAAAATAAATATACATTAACTTGTTACAAATTATTGAAAACATCTTTATAAACAACATTAGAACACATTTTAATCTTCATTTTTTCTATTAGCAACTAAATTTTTTAATCCACTCTTTGATCATAAGAAAAAACTGATTTTAGAATTAATGTATTTTATTACATCAGTCTTATTAGCAAATTGTGATTTTAAAATAATTTTATTTGATTTAACAAATTGAAGTTGATTTGATTTATTTTAATAAAATATACTTATTACAAAATATAATCGCTAAATTGAAAAAATAAAACTACTTTAAATTTTATTTTATAACATGATGTATATTGTATTAATGCTTTGTGTTTATTTTAAAACCAAAAATGGTGGGAAAATAATTAAAACTAAAGTTTTCAATCCATAATAAAATATATTAGGCATAATTGCATTTTTGATCCTCAAATATTGTAATTGGACAATTTTGATTTCCAAAGTTTTAATCGGGTAATTTTAGTCCCTAAAAGATTGCAATTGTGAGATTTTGGTCCTTCAATCTTTAATTGAACAATTTTAGTCCTTCAAATATCATAATTGTGCGATTTTAGTCTCTCCCATTAAAAATTAAATAATTTTAATATATATATATATATATACAATATTTTAAAAGTATACAAATATTTGTCTATTCAAGTTAATGCATATTATAATTTTCTTCAATGCATCAAATGATATATATTTATTATTAATAAATAAATAAAATTTATATATTATTATTTTTATAATATTACTGATAAATTAATATCAATAATATTATTAGTATATTTATAGATAAACTAATAATTTGATAAATATAATTTATTATATAT